CCCCCCTTTTGCGTGGTTTGGGCAGGGAGGGGGGTCTGGGCGGGTGTGGGTGGATAGGGTGGGAACTTGGGTGTGGGCGGACGGGGACAAAAGGGAGTTCTGAAGGACGACGTTGTCGATCCGCGGAGTGAGTAGGCCTGTGTGGGGCTACCAGAGGTGCGGGAAACCTGTGGTGGAGGCTACCATAGGGTGTCCCTGTGGTGGGGAACAAAGAAAAGCAGAGTGTAAAAGGGTGTACCCCAGGGTGTACCCCCGGGTTTGTGTACCAGGTGTTTTCCTTTTGCACAGAGCCCCTTGTCAAAAAATTCCCCTGCCAAAAGGTAAAACACTGCTCCCACACACACACACCACACGAAAACCAACACCCACAACACACAAAACCACACACACACCCCAACCACCACCCCACACACAACACCACCCACACACACCCATTCACACCCCACACACACACACACCACACAACACACACCACACCCCACACCACACACCCGACACCCCTCACACACACACACACACAACAACACAAACCACAACACACAACACCACAACAAAAAACAACCACACACCCACAAAGAAACCACCACAACCACACACACACCACACACACACAACCCCACACACACACACCAACACACCACACCACACACACACACAACCACACCACACACACACACACACACACACACAACACCACCCACACACACACACACACACACACACACACCACACAAAACCTACGGATAGCGTTCCGATACCCGAAAGGATTTTTTTTAAGACCCCTGTACACCATCTCGTCGGCCCATATGGAGTATGCACCCCCTTTTGGAATCCACCCCTAGTCAAGCACGTCAAGAAATTGGGAAAAAAGTGCAAAGGTTTGCAACAAGATAGTCCCGGTCGGGGATTGTCCTATGGGAAAGGTTGAGGGAAAACGGCCTGACGACACTGGAGGCCAGGAGGGCGGGGAGACTGATAACGAATATAAAATATGCGCGGTTTTGAAAGAGGGGAAAAGACGGGATTTCCAGAGATGGGAACAGACACAAAAGGTCACAAATTTGGAAATTGAGCTCGATGAATCAAAAGGGGTGTTGGGAAATATTTCTTTAGTCATAGAGAGTAGGCCCTGGAATAGCCTAGAAAAGGGTGTGGTGGGGAGGAACCATACATAGTTTTAAAAGGGGAGGTATGATAGAGTCAGGGGAGGGAGAGAGAGGACCTAGTGCAATCAGCGAAAAGGCGGGGGGCCCGGGCTGTGACTCGGGCCCCTGCAACCAAAATAGGTGAGTACAAAAGGTGAGTCACCCCACCACACCAAAACAACACACACACAAGCACACAACACCCCACAACCACACCACCACACCACACACACACCACACACACAAACACAACACAAACAAGCACACACACACACACACACACACACACCACACACACACACACACACACCACACAAGCAACACACACACAACACCACACCACACAACCCAAACACCCACACCACACACAACCACACCCTGCGTCCCCCCCCTACTGTTAAACTAGGTTTCCATCCCCCTCCCCCGCACGCCCACACCCACGTCACGCCCACCCCACACCACCACGAAGCATGGGCGGCACAAGGCTATCTCTAGCTCACCGGGGGAAAAAAGGAAACAGCCCTGGAAAGGGGCGGGGTGTGGGGTGTGGGGGGCGGGGGTGGGGCCCAGGCGGGCCTGCATATTGCAATCCCCAAAGGTATTTTACCCTTTCCCGCCAGAGTGGCCGGTAGGCTTCAACATATTATAAAAATTTAAAATAGGGTTTTAAAGCTAATGCAAATGGAAGACGTAAGTTAACCCCTGGGTTTTTTTTTAAATTGTTTGAAAAAAAGTCGGTGAAACCCCAAAAACCGACGTGCCCCAAAAGGGGACAGCCCAGAAAAAAGGACGTGTCCGATAGAAAACTGTCCGAAAGAAAACGTGTCTGAGGGGACGCCTCGTCGTCCAGGCGTATAAGATTAGAGACAAAATGGGACATCAATTCCAAAACCAGTCATAAAAAGAGATGGACAAATAAAAATGAACACCTTTTTGGGTTAAAACTTTCCCAATTTGACTGAATGATCAGTCACCCGACGGACGAAAATCAGCATTCACGCCCTGAGTTGTTCAAACTGTCATAAAACAACAAAAAAGTGAAGCTGAACACTTGTACTGGGGCCCCCCAACAGTCCCCGGTTTCTAAAATATTTTTGGGGGGGCATCTCTGAGGGTCACTTAGAAAAAAGAAGTTAGGAATGGGTTTTCCCTTCCCCCGTTGTTTTTGGGGAAGAGTTTAATCAGGTCTGGTTTTGTGAATCACTAAAAAATCCCCCTGGATACTGTTTAAATTTTAAATCCCTTTGGAAAGAATTACCTGGGGCAAGTTCCGGGGGTCAACGCCCCTGCGGGCCCGGGGTCGTGCCCAAAGGCCTCAAACGAATAAAATTCCCTCGACAAACTAGTGGTGTTTTAGCCTCGATGGGAAAAACAACTGCTACTAAAAGTAAAAAGGGTTATAGAAAATTGAAGAATTAAAACCCAAAACGGCAACATCTGGTTTTTTTATTGGGTAAAACGTTTTCCCCCCATGATTTTCCCAATACAATTAAAGGAATTTTGTGAAAACTTAAAATTTATACAGAAAACAAAAGGGAAATCGGCCCCCAAAAACCCTTGGAGTTGAAGAGGACTCGTTTCCTTCACCCTCCAAGGTTTGAGGGACTGTTACCTAAAATTTTTTGTTTTAAAATTCAAACATTTTCCCAAAAAAATTTTCCTTGTTTTGGAAATTGGAAAAAACTTGGATTGGCGAAACGTCTAAAGAAAAACAAAAAACCCCAAACGTTGCACATGGGGCCCTAATAAGTTTTCAAATTTGTTTTGTGCACTTGCACACCCAAAAAGGGAAGGGGCTTACTGACGTTAGGGGGAAGAAAGGGCAAGGTAAAAATCCCAAAAGGGGAGGAACCGGGACGCTGAGGGTGAAAGTCGGTTCACCAGACCGTGTTTGGTCATCAGGTGAACCCTGTGTGGGGGCATTTGAGTAGGCACGTATCTTGCAGTGAAAACACTGCCCCTTGCGGGAAAAGAGGCACTGTTACTTGCGGTGAGGGGACATTTTAATTTCCCCAAAAGCGAGAGGCACTGTTTTCTTACAGTAAAGAAACACTTTTAATACATCATCCCCAAGTATGACCTACTGAAACACAACGCCCAATCTTTAATTTGGCCCTGCAGAACCCCTCACCATAGCAGTGACCTCCTGCAACAAACATCACAAAATTGACCTGAAAATTATAGACAAAAAGGGACTATTGCAAACGTATAAAACCCGGGGCCCCCCCCTCCCCAAACACATCACAACATTTGGACTTTTTGCAAAACTTCAAAAACAGTGTTTCCCCTTTGCAACAATCACAACAGTGATTTATCAACATATAAACAAACATTGATTTACAGAACATATCAAAACATGACCCCTGCAAAAAATTTCACAACCAGACTCCTGCAACACATCAAAACAGTGATACTTAAAGACCATACTTTCTACAGTGTTTCCACTCACAAAATTAAGCCATCGCAAAAATTTAACTTTTATTGGGGGTTATTTCCTAACTTTTTCCCCCTCCACCAGGTTGTAGCCTCTTAGATCAGGGGCTGATTCTGGGGCGGGTCAGTTCGTCAAATTTTTCCCAACCCCCTGAGTGAAATTTTGCAATCACCAGGCAGGTTTTTTGACAGGGGGGGGGTTTAAAACTGAGTGTGTGTGTTGTGTGTGGGGTGTGTGTGTGTGTGTGTGTGTGTGTGGGGTGTGTTTTGGTGTGTGTGTGTACCCACCTTTTTTGGGGTTTTGCGGGGTAAGTCACATTTCCGGGCCCCCTCCTCTTCGCTGGTCGTTTACTGGGTACTGGGGCCCAATCTCCCCCTGCTCCCCTGGGGGCTTTAATCGTAACTCCCCCTTAAAGCTATGTTTTTGATTCCCTGCCTCCACCCCCCTCCTCTCCAGTTTTTTCCCCACTTCCGGGAAAATCTGGGGCTGAAAAAACATTTTTTCAAAACATCTCTTTGACTAACCTGATTTTAAACCCTTCCAGTTGTGCCCCCTTTTTGGGCTGTGTGCCATGAACCTTCGCCCCTCTCCACCTTGTAAAAATCCTCTCAAAATTTAAAAAATTTCTTGTCTTTGTTTTTCCTGCCCCCCTTTCCTCCAGAAATCATAAAGGTTTGGGTTTTCCCTTTTTAAAAACCTCTTTTTATGGGACTTACCTCTTAGCTCCGGGGTAGTCTTGGGGAAAACCTTAGCACTTTCTCTAATTTTTTAACGTGAAATGATCAGGTGTGGGTTTCCTTTATGGGGGCCTGAAAATTTCAAAAAACGGCTTGATTTTAACCACTGTGTAGGAAAAGTTTTAATTGACCCCCTTATTAAAGGTGCAAAAATTGCTGATCTTGGGTTTTTTGCCGG